CCTCGCACTATCTGCATTAAAAACTATTTACCTTATTATCTGACTCATGTAGTCCTAGAAAAATTCGTCTACACTTAAAAATAAAATGTTCTGTTTGTTATTTTTAAATTTTAACGGACCAACCAACTTCCTGTCTGATGACAAGGAAGCTGTGAATATCCGAAAACTTTGATGTCCTGAGACAAACGCACTCTCTAACAACAACATATGTCAATACACATTATTACCAAAATGAATATATTTAGTATAGTCGATTGGTTGCACCACTGATCATTACATACTACCAGAAACTCGGAACCGTGCCGAAGAAAAGGAAGAGGGAGAGAAGAAATCAATCCATTTATTATAACTTTCAATAAAGATTATTAGATATTGAACTAAAGTGGCGGCTTTTGTAGACATGGCGTTACTGAGGAGCCTGTGTAAGGTTATATTATGTGATTTTTATAAAATCAAGATTTTCCAGTTTTATGCCATACTGGATCATTTCAGATCCTTCAAAAGATTTCAGCATCTTCCGTAGGTGTATTTAACTCTGGAGATTATCTTCGTGAAGTAGTTACTTTTATATAATTTCTGAATAAAATACAGGGGACAGAAATTCCTGAACGGGATGAATTGTACCAAAAAATTGTTATTACTGTCAAAGGTCATGAACCGATGGTTTTAAAAAGTTATGAAACTTTTGTCAAACAAGTTGGTGACAATCTATCATTAGCTCTTAAATGGTAATATAATATATCTAAAAAAAAATATTGATAAGTGAAACTCGTAATCGGCCGAAGTTTCTACGCCTATCCATGAACAGATCACCGTTTATTTATAAAAAGCAGCAGCGTCAGTATGAGTTTCGCACGCATTACAAATACTTCACAGTAAATGCATTTTTATATTGTTCGAATACCATTTAGGTTGATCACATAACAGGATGTACTGCGGATGTATTTCTTGAATATATTCAAAGAAATCTACCCGAGGGTATAGCTATGGAGGTTGAAAAGGTAAGACATATTTGATGTTAAGCATTTACACTGTTCACTGTCTCAAGTACCGCAGCATAAAGTTCTGTGTCGGCATTAAAAACGTAGTATATAATAATTCTTAAGAGAATTTCCATATGAAACAACATTTTTAAGTGGTAATTTGAGATGAAAATCAAGTACACACTGAATTTCATTACAGATATTTCTCTGATATTAATATCTTTACTACTATGATAGATTTTATAATTTGTTTATAAATGACCCAATTATTATTTCGTAGTCATTTCTTTATGTGATTAATGTACTGATAAATATTGATGACTTATTATAGAGCGGTCGTTAGTAAATTTAGGCAAGACATGAGGTCCTTCATCGATTCAACATATTCAGCATATTCTAAGTCAGCAAGCGATTCTCCTAGTAGAAGGTCCGCCCTTGAAAAGTTAGACAATGTTATCTCTATAAACATGTCTATGACAAAATTAACCAAGAATGGCGAGAGTGGATATCCCTGACGGACACCACTTGAAATGGTCAATTCTAATGACAGTTCGCCATAAGCTCTCACTTGACAAGTGGTGTTCGAGTTACGATGAGCATAATAAAGAATATTTTGAGATCACAAGAAAACCTTACACATCAGCTTGAACTTAAAGGTTGATTTTGCTGCTATATAAATCACTAAAACAAGCTTTGCCTCATAGTTTTTCAACAAATTCCGCGCTGTTTTCTATCGACCTGATCGTCCAAATAACATATTAAAATATTTGGAAATAATCAGTTTTTTTCAGAAGTGTTGTAAATAGTCTGAAGTGAATAAATAAATGTTTTCAACTCTGACTGCTCATTAAAATTTCAAGTCCCAGATTTGAGGAAATACCGGTTGGCATCAGTATTTATTTGCGAGAAATTTATATCAGTAATGAAGACTAAGTTAAATCCAGAAATTTATTTATATGGTAAACTATTTTCTCAATCCTAAATTATTTTCCCATTTTCTAGAATTAGGGTCTGTTAACGGCCCCTTTTTGTTTAATCATTGACCCCTATCATGTAAACGGTGTTACTTGTCACGTTTCAGTTGTTTTAGATTAACATAATGTAAGATATGAGTTAGGCATTTGTGTAACCTGCATGATCGATAACAGTAACACAAATAATAATTTGGATAATGCACTAATTAGACGATGACTATCAGAATTATGTGATATGTTGACGCAATACACCTTGAAAATCCACCTGTAGACCCCCGGGGTTACTGCCGGTCCCAAGCCCGGATAAAGGAGGCTGGACTGAGTCACGTTGGTAAGTGTAGACTACCTAGTTGGGGCCCACGAGATAATAGTAATCGATGGTTAGAGACCCTGAATGGCATGGATCAAAACTGTTTGCAATGGCGCATATGCATTCATTCTTTGTGTTCTTTCAAATTCTAAACTTTGGACTTCATCACCTTTATAATTTTCTTTTTAAGTTTCTTTCACTAGATTCTACTTCTTTATCTTTCTCGTTTCAAATCTACTTCACTGGATTATACTTATTGAATAATATCTTTGAACCGTAATCTTTCCGATTACTGTTCATGCTTCTACTACCTCTACTACTATGGGATTTGAATCGATAATTGTGTCTCTGTATTACCGTGGTATGGAAACTTGAACTGATGTACGTACGTACGAAGTTCTACGTTTTAGCTGAATGACTGATGTCAGTTTACTACACTTATCTGAAATTACGTATCTAAATTCATTACAACTTACTGGAAAATGGGAAAATAATTCTTGGAAGATACGTGGAAAAACAATGACGATAGAGCTCGTAGTTGCCTTATTAGTTAGTAAATGCACATATTTTACACAGTTCTACTGTGATTT